CATAAATCTTATTTTATCAGACCATTTAGCAAATTAATTTCTTTGAAATTTCATTGTTGTTTAGTGTTGTTATGCAAATTAGGAAATTAACGAACAAAAAGTTTGACGCACTTGCACTCATTTTGAGATAAGCATTGAGATATGGTACTTGAAAAGAAAGCAAAGAGCAATAAACATTTTACATTTATATTCGATTAATGGTCTGAGCAGGTCAACGAGTCATCATAATGCTTTAACAAGAAGCACTGCCTTAATTTTCATTAAAAGAAATGAAAAATAGAGTAGTAATTGAGTTTGTTCAAGTAGGAATCAGATTATAAAATAGAAACTATTGCAATAGAATTGTTAATTCAAAAATTAAAGAATTTGATGGGCAACGAATGATTGCTCATTCTTTCAATCTTTTTAAGTATTTCTGATTGATTTTAAATGAAATGTGTGAATTTTTTAGTGATGAGCAGAATCAGCTTCATTTCTCTATTTAAATTCTAAATTAATAAATATGATAGATTTGAGTTGATCTGGACAAGGTGCTTAAAGGACAGGTGAAGGACAGTGACAGATGTGTCTCTTCTGAAATGAACTGATGATGATGACAGCAATTCATGCAATTAAGTTAGGTCGTGTGATGAGCTCAATTCATGATCAAATAAATCCTTTGCTTTATCTTTTCACATTAAAAAAATTAAATACTTATATCTGTTGAAGGATTAGAAATTCGATGACGAATACGGCAGTTACTTGTGGCTTTAACAACAGCAAATATTATAATCTCAAAAATTCTCATAAGACAGATTACTTGTGATACACAGTTGGGAGAGCACTGAAAGCTTATGTTGTAAGCTGAGCAGGACAAGCAGGGATGGTTTGATAAACATCTTAATTGTTCACATCCAAAACTAAATCATAATATATTCACTCATAAGCATTCACTGATCTTTGATAAGCACTGATCAGTTAACTGATTACTTTCTTATCAAAAAACAGTGGTATTAAACTCTCTCTGTAAGTAAGCAGTTTGTATATTAAAAATTACAGTGAGACATATATGCTAATCTTAAGACTTTCCAAATTTGCTGATAAAGTTTACGGATCGATTTAAATCTTCAACGATTTACTGATGTAACAGTGAAATGAAATGAAATGAAACCATGCAGAGTGGTTCTTAACAGAGTTTAATCAAACAATCATTTCTCTTTATCAAACTAATAAAATAAATTGGGGAAGTGAGACTAAACATTCAAAGATATTTATGCATTTATATACGGGCAAGTGGGAAACAAATTGAAAAGCAAAATATGGCGGTGAAAAAAAGACGAAGAAGGAAAGATGCAATTAATGGAAGTGTATGTGCAGCTGCTAATTGGTCTTTAAACATTTACATTCATAAGTAAGTAAGTTAGCAAGAAAGTAAACCAATCCTTCACTACCTAAATGTATTTACCCTTCCGTTTTCAATCCTTCAATTCTTTTCATTAGATGACAGACAGAGTGAAGAAGATGACAACAGAATTGACAAATTTCTTCACTTCAATTACTCATTTCAATTGATAGTTGCTAAATTGTTTTCATTTAAAGTTGACATCCAATGCTGGAATTTTAAAGCAAATAAATGGCTTTGGTAGAGTTGGATGAGTAGTAGTAGTATTAGTAATAATATGAATTAATTATGTAGCAATCAGGAAGAGATAATTGATTTTGTGATTATTAAGGAGAAGAGGTATTATTATTATTATTATCATCATTGTTTTGTTATTATTATTTTGTTATTTGCTACTATTACTACCATTATTATTATTAATTATTGTTCTTGTTATTATTAATAATATTAATTATATTAACATCATTACTATTACTACCAATTATTGTTGCTACTAATTATTACTATTACTACTATTACTTTTAGTACATACATAGAATTTCATTGAATGATATAAAAATGCAATGAAAAGGAGGTCAAAGGGTTGATATTCCGCTAAGCATGCAATTCAACTTTTCTCGTCTCGGTTTATTAGTAAGGGTCATGATTAGATGCATCTGATAAGTACAGAAAAGTATAAATAAGTAAGTAAGATGGAGGGAGATGTACAGACCGCTACCGATGACATCAAAATCAAACGCATTCTACCGGATACGGCAATTAAATTTTAAAGGAGTAGAAACAGTACTAAAGACTGAAATAAATAAATAAATCAAATTCAATCAGAAATCATTCAAACTTGCATAACTTGGAAGATAACCCGAGAATTCCTGAAGAGAGGAGAAGAATTTCACTTGAGCATAATGCTTGGCCAATATTTGTAACTATGAAGTAAGTGAACTACCTTGAAGTTACTTATTTCAACTTACTTCATTATGCCAATCATCGCTAATTAAAAAAAGCGGTACAAACTTCCCAGAGGAAAATATCCCAACGATGTTTTCAACTACTTTATCAGCTCTCTCCCTCCCTCCCTCTCTCTCTCTCTAAAATTTTTCTGATTGAAATTGTAAAACATATTAAAATCATTAATTGTCTTTGCAACAGATTCTAAATTCAGTATTGCAGATCCACAGATTTAAAAAAAAAAAAACATAAACTTTTTAAACATTGTGGTGGGAAGATTTGAGGAAAATATAAACTTATTGCATTCTTAAGTCTGTTTTGATGAACAGTAATCTAATTTACTTTACTTAGCTTAAATACATAAGAAGCAATGATACCTTACTGTATCGAGAGTTGTACGGTACTATAAGTTTACTACCTGTTTACTACCTGTAAAGAGATTTTAGCAAAAGGTAATAACTTAAAGAAAACTAAAATTGTTAGCGTTGCGATTGAAATTTATCAAAAGAAGCTAGAAGAGAGAAGAGTATTTGTTATGGTAATTGTGTTAGCACACCTGGTGACATCAACGACAGAGCACGAAGAGGCGAAAGAGATGACATAATGAACAGTCATTTATTGTTTAGGGGTTTATTCGATTTCGATTATGACAAGTACGAAAGATTTTACGTCTCACAGTGATACTCCAAGTCTTTAGTGATTACTGATAATTACTGATTACTGATAAAAGAATACTATCATCGCTAGTCCTTACGAATCATCAAATTCAGACAGATATTTCATGCAATATTCGTTGATACGCAATTAGCGATTGAATTAGCAGCAAAACAAAGACAAAATTTCAAACTCGCCGAAACGTTGATTCGTGGCTTTACGATGGTAACTTCGTCTGTCCATGAAACTTTTATTTTTGTTGTCAATCTTTGGACAGTCCACAATAAACATCGCAGCATTTCATTTAGGTTGCGGAATGTGAAATTATTCAGAAGCAAATTGTATACAATTTTCTAATTGATAAGATAGCCTAGTGATAAGTTTAGGCTCATTGGCTTCTTAACTTATAGTCCTTATAGTCCCAACACCTTTCTTTTTTTTTTTTTAGAATGCAAAGCATTCGTATGGTGCAAAATGAATTTCGATAATTTATATTTAAAAAATTACGCAACGAAGGTATTTTCTTGTTCAGATAAGCTACGACAGAAAAGCAAACGAAGAATTAAAGGAAGAAAATGAGTTTTGAAGAATTGCAAAGTTTATTAAAATGCGGCAAAGGTTGTTATCTACTCTATGACAATATTTTTCAAGAAATTTCTATCTCATCTAATAGAGTGACCACTGGTCAACAAATTGCAATGATTTTTGATCATTTGCAGTTTACTTACTGTTTCAAAAACAGAAACAAAGAAATAATTTTTTGAATGTTTCTCATTTGTTTGCTCACATTTAAGCATGCATCACTTTATTGAAACAGCCATTGCTTCAACACTTCAACACGTTACTGACAAAATGCTGAATTCTTCCGGAAATATGAGAAGCGTTTCCGTATTATCACTTTATCAGTTTATCACTTGAAGTAATCACTGAGACACATTGCATAGTGAATTTTCACTCCAAACTCATTCATTAAGAGTGTGTCATTTTATATGATTTCTCATAAAATATTGATATAATCATTATATTATTATTATTTTTATGTTATATTGTATTTATATATTATATTATATTAATATTTATATCTAATATTATACTATACCATAAATAATATTATCACTACTTCCCATGTTGGTTATCAAAATATATTATGTTTCGATATGCCCTTAGAAAGGAAAGTCGTTTATCAATAGTAAACTATTGAATGACAAGAATTGGGTGTTTAGTTTCCGGACCGGAATTACAACCATTTGGCTCCTAATAAATGCCAATAGATGTTCGAAATATTGTTTACTGGGATGGAAATCATGATACTTATACTACTATATATATCATGATACTAAATTGAAACGGTGATTTGTTCTTTCTTAATCAAAATATCAAAGATTATTTTTTGGATAAACTGTCCTCATCAAATATTTACAATTGGAACAATACCACCTCAGAAATGCACGAGAAATTTGAATGGTTCGGGAGAAGCGGAAAAGTAAATTCCGTTCTTCCGGTATCTTACATCGAAGAATTGTAGAAGAAAACAGTTTTTTTTTTTAGATAAAGGAAGAATAATTTTCGAATCAAAAAAAAAAAATAGAAAGAATTGCAAATAAATGAAAAGATTTTAACATAGTAAGAAATAAAATGCTGTGTTAATTGAATTGATTAGCAGTTTTGAATGAATAAAAAATAAAATTGCTTCCTTCCAGTCTTCTCTCCCTGTCCGTTCTTTTTACTTATTATCTAAATTTATATCTTTAAGAAGGAGAAAGTATGGGTTAAGTAAGCTTAACGAGATTGCCAAGAGCATAAGAGAAGTATGGTTGTAAATGTTATGGAAATGATTGCAACATGACCTTAATTAGATTTTAGTAAATAATTTGTCAAATGCAATATAAGTTGCCATTTCCGCAGTGTCTCTCACTTTTCCATTTTTCCACTTTAGAAAAAATTTGCATTTTAATATTGAAATAAATAATTTAAAAGAAGCATAGATCTTGACTCACTTTTAGTTGAATTACTTTAATTAATGTACTTTCCTCCAACAATATTGACAATTGCTTCCCACATCGCCGCTGCGCATATGACGAGGAAAGTTACTGCTACTGCTACTGCTGTTACGTTGCGCATGCGCACAAATAGAGATGTCCAATCTGCTCCGCCTGTCCTAGTGGACACTTTCCGTTACGTCAACTGGCGGAGTGGGAAATTTCCAATCTTTAAGTGTATATTAAGAATGTGCAATAGTTTAATGAAATCTACGAACTCTACGAAAATATCATCAGCCAATGATTCCATTCCTTCTCATGGTAATATTGCAATGATTCGAATCGTCCATTTGCCAAAAGTAATAATATCTTTCATAAGTTGATGATTCCGGAAATCCGTGTCATTGTTGATAAAACCCTAAGAGTTGATATTATTCCAACCTAATATGTCTTTGATCCCTCACGCGTCTACGAAGAACGGAAAATTCACAAAATTATAGTTTAAGAAAAACAGGAAGCCGTAATTTCCGATTAGCTATCAAAACTCGGCAGATAAATCTAATTTTTAACACTTTGTGATGTGATTTGGAATATAAGAGAGAGAGGAGGGAGGAATGGGAAGGTATTCGTTGTGCTAACTGAAGAATATATTTTATAAATTTTTCCCATAAAAAGATGGATAGCTTGGAATAAAAGCAAATTCTTAAGTGAGGAAGGAAGCTTGAGAAGAAGGCATGAATGGGTAATTTTATGAAAGTTCCTTAAAAGTAATGAGACTTAAAAAAGAGTAAGACTAAACAACTTAATATGTGCATATAAGTATGAGACACAAAAGAAGTATATATTTATGCAGCAGTAATATTCATTATATAATGAAATGCCTAGAACTAGAGGAATCAGGGCGGGTGGGCTGGCGGGCGGGCAGGCGGCATTTTACATAACGCTAAGCTATTTGGTCGTAGTTGAGAAGAGAAGCAATTTCTGCAATGGAATTGGATAGATGGATGGATGGATAGATAGATACTTGGGCAATTGAATAATAAAATCAAAAAGTGAAATAGACTGCTTTCCCATTGCCTCTCGGTGCCCAAAACACGGGTGAAAACAAAATGGGAATATTTATGCGTCGTCGTTGGAAATGATCACTTAATGCAATCAAATGACGCTTGCATCATAATCATATCAAATAAAACATTAACATTGAGGAAAGTACTTTCGATGCGATGCGATGCGATGCGATACGATGCGATGCGATGCGATACGATGCGATACGATGCGATGCGAACGTTACGAGCAGATGGGTGAAAGAGACGTGAAAGCGTAGACTTGGATTCAAGAAAGATCGAGATTTGTTGTCGAGAACGATTCAGAGTTGAGAGTTAGTGTGATTTAATGAAGAGAGAGAGAAGAGAGAGAGAGAGAGAGAGATTAGTTGTTCGTTTCACTCTTATAGCACTAATTAAAGAGATTCAAATTTCGATTAATTTATTCCATAATAATAGAAAATGAATTTCATATCATTATGGAAATTACTAAACAAAATGACTCTTTCAGAGGTAATATTAGTCACAAAGCAAACTCTTAAGTATAACTGCTCCAGCATCACTACAAACATACACATCACTACATACATCACATCTCATCTCACCGTCTCATTTAAATGCATTTTAAATACATTTATAACACTGTGAGACAGACAGACACACACACATGCACATGCACACATGCACATGCACACACACATCGACATGCATGCATACATTACGACATACTCATATGCATGTTATGATGATATGATAGCATAGAGGTGTGGTACTAATGATGTGATAAAAGTGTGTGCACGCTTCTGCAGCATGCAAAAGTGAACGCTTAAGGATGCGACGGAGAACCTTCGTTTGCAATCTTTGATAAATTTAAAGGTAACATTGCAATGCGAGAAGTGTGCGAGTCGCAAATTGATTTCAGAATATGCATGCAGCTATACTATCCTGTCGTAATTTAAAGTAAAGAAAAGTTAACATTGTATAAGTTAGCTTCGCTGTTTACTGTGTGACATTATTACTACTACTCATTACTTCATAACATAATTAAATGGAATATTTGTTAAAGAATCAGAATGTCACATCAATATTTGAATCTTTTCTGAAATATCGTATGGCAGACATAATTCTGTGCTATACGAATAGCATTTGAATTAAACAGTTCAAATGCTTTGTGCTTATCTGCGAGAACATTTGAAAAGGTTACGAACTGAAAACAAAAAATGGTATGAAAAAAGCAAAAGAGAAAGTTTAGTGAAAATTGAGCTAATGACTCAGAATAGAAAGGCATAGAATCTTCTGAGGTAAATGGATTAAAATAATTTTGTTGCTGAAAGAACAAAGAGGAAAAGAAGTTGTATGGCATTTTTGACAAAACTGAAACTTGCAAGTCTTTCAAATATTAAACAGTTCTCATACGGAAATAACAATTTTTTTTTTCCAATTAAAATATGGCAGTACAAATGAGCTATAATAACACTATTGGATAATAAATGAAAGGAAAAAAAAAAAGGTTGACATAGGTGGAGTCACCAGTGTCACCAGTGTCACCAGTGTCACCTGTGTCACCATCAACCTGTATTGCTTTCCCGAAAAAGATTATCTCCGCCTACCATCAAAACGTTATAATTAATTTGTCCATCTCAAATGGGCAATGAAACTGCCCGAGTTATGATTGCAATGATGAAATTACATTATTTTCCCGAGCAGACGCTAAAATGAAATTATGAATAAGCAAGAAGTCGACGCAGAGGCCTAATCATACTTGTATTTGTGTAATATTTCTCGATCGTTTTCTGTCCCGTAGGAATTTTATGACTGATGATGATGATTAATTTTGCTTCGTTTCTTTCTTTCCTATTATTTGGTCTATGCTAGCACACCTTGTTGATGAGTGTACCAGAAATAATATTCCAAGTGTGGAAAAATTTTAATGAAATTTGTTCATCACGGACGTTTTGTATTCCTGTAGGATAACCTGAATAACGTAAGTGATCAACGTGCTAGCACTCATAACTGATAGACCGGATCGAACAATCGTCATCAGTAACGGATGATGCAAAACGGTTAGCCGTCTTTTTTCATTCCTCCTCAGTGAACACCGCTTTTGTTAGCAGCGGAATTTCTACATTTCTGTTAGCTTGAAATTCCAAAATTTATTGCTGATGCTGAGTCATCCTATAAGGCGAACTTGTTTTGCACCCAAATGTTTATATAGTTTAATTGTTCTACAAAATAATGCAAATATATGATTAGTCGAATAGATAGTTGAAAATGTAAAACTTTCGTTCGATAATTTAGGGACAGTACAGCAGGAAAAGAAAGGAAGAATGTTCAAAAGAAAAATAAACAGTCACCGGATGGACCTCCTTTTTGTTGTTTCCGGTCTTACCGAATTGAGCAGCTATTACCCATCCAAATGGGATCCATGTTCTGAGCTGTTAGCAATGCAACACGCAATAGCGTGCAGATGCGAGGCCAACTTTACCTCTCACTTGCAGTGGAAGTGGTGCATGCATGCTGCAGAAACTCGATCACTCATTAACTCAAATTATCGGATTAACTGCTCCGGCAAATTGCTCTTCATTGACGAGTGTCATGCTCGACCGAACGGATGGCTTGCATTGGCGAGCAGTGATGACGAGATTCGTAAGAGATATTCGGGAAATAATGGAAAAGTGGGGGGTAGAGAGAGTCGCAGCGATGCAAGATCTACCTGCTGCTGCTAATAACAGGTAGTAGTGATAGTAGTAGGAAGTGACGACAGTAACAAGTTCCCACTGTCTATATTCCATGGTTCATTTACCGTAATCCGTGTCCGTCGCGATTTGTCTCTACTGAGCAGCAAAACAATTTAATTAAGGTATTACTTACTTGCTGATATGATGGATGGACAGCTCGGAGTACTTCAGATCGCATCTGCTGTGATAAAGGCATTAATTATAGCTATTTGATGTATAATACACGTGCGTGATTTGACGTGACAGACTGATTAAAGTGACGTAAGGAGTTGAAATTGATAGTATTAGTGACATCGAGTGGACACGACTAACTATTACTTCGAACAGCATCAGCCGAAAGGCTTTCTCTTTTCTCTTTTAAATGCCCAATTTTGAGGTGCAATTTGTATGAAATAGAAAGGAAAGCAAATCAGTCCAATGTTCCCTTTCTCAATCCCAAATTAAGCCTATAATTTGTAACAGAAAATACCTCAATTATACCTATAATATACATCCATCCATTCTATAGTAACCAAAAATTGAGCTCATTTAACAAACAAACAATTTCTTCCCACTATGCTTCATTTCACGAATATTTTCCCCAACAATTGCTTATTTGCTTAGCAAATGAGTTTGCATAAGAACAAGTTCAAAAAACAGAATTTCAAAGTGGAATTTAGACAAGTGCACATACCCCGGTATATCCCAATAACTTCCATTGACAGAATGGAATTTTATTTTTCGAAAAATTTTTTCAAAAATTGAAATTACGTTTGAAATTTCAAAAATATGTATTGATGCAAAATTTACTACAAAATACTACCAAATCTTTCCTTTTTTAAAAACTAATCTAAATTTAGAGTGAATGATAAGAAATTGAAAGTAGCTGAAAAGCACTAACGAAACGAGGTATTTCGACAGGTAACAGATTCAATAAAGGAAGAAGGACAGAGTATTTGCGCACGAGGTGTAACATTAGCGCATTCAGTCATCCACACAGTTCCTAAATTTCTGCATTATACAATACACTTATGATGAATAGCTCTGACTCAGTCTAATTTAATTCGGAAGACTTTAGGAAGAATCCTGTAATCCGATCCGTTCCTTCCTTCAGTCATTGTACAGCCGTAAAAGAAATAGATCAGTTGTTGGCTGATGAACATATCAGTTGTGAACAGATAAGTCACATATTATTGTTATTATTCCTACTGTTTTATTATTACTATTACTACTACTAATAATAATTATTATTGTTAATATTGTTTTCTGTTATTGTTACTATCATTTCGTTACTTTGACGGAATGTAACTTTCCGCATTTCTTCTTTCTGATTGCGCTCCAAATGGAACTCAGATAAATGACTTTAGTTTAGTTTGCTAGGAATTTAAAAAACTCATTTTAAGGCAAGAAAAAAGTGTTACTTTAGGTAGTAACAATTATCGCTGTTAAATCTTAAATCCAATCATCACAATGAGTAATGTTTTGAAGTTCAAAAAGTTCATAAAATTCTTTAAATTTTGTAGGCTGAATTTTTAATTTAAATTTAAAAAATTTAAACATATCAAAGAAGTAAACATAAGAATGAAAGCAATAGGCTTTGGCAAATTGAGCGAGATTTGACCTTCTTTGATTTTACTCTAAAACTGACGATGAGATGGCAAATTGTTTTTTCCGAAAGGTGCAAAATCATTTTTATCAAAATTTGCAACTATTGCTACTTTCATTTCATTAAACTTTAATTCACATATGATAATGTTGGAAAGATGGGGGAATTACCTTGAATTTTAGACTGTCAAATTATTGTACTTTCTCAGAAAATTGAAAATTGAAAAATGAAGAGGACAGCAAGTTGGACAACAAGGAGAAATATAGCTGATCTAAGATTTGGATTAAAATTTGGTTCGATGATAACTATTAAAATGTCATAGCAACCTGTGTCTCATTCTCACTCATTAAGCAAAACACAACTCTCGTCCCATCCATCCATCCATCCATCCCTCTCCTTTCCTCTGCTAAAGTCCAGGTGTATGCGACTAATTAAACATTCACTACAATTTAGCTCATTAATCAGACGAATGATGTTATTGCTCGTTGATAGACATTTATTAATGATTCAATCACTCAGTACTACTACAACAACTATCCTTGCTTCTCTCATTAGCAACAGAATTGACTGATAATAATCAAATTAAATATCATTATTGCTTGTTGCTTGGCTAATATTATGCAACAACAACACACACACACACATACACACACATACACACATACATGGCCTTATTTTCATTGGCCAATAAATCCTCGTCAAGTTACTACCATCAATGCCTCTACAAATCTACAGTCTTGAAGAAAGAGCATCGAGTTAAAATTTGTTGATTGAAATATTGATGAGAAGAGGATGTCAAAGTGTTGTAACGAATAACATTGCTAATCTTTCCATTTATTTATCAGATCAGATCTCCTTGATCTTATCAGGATCAGATCAAAACACAATCATACTGTATTTTTCGCTTTTGGATTATCAGAACTTCTCACTTATCTTAACAGTTACTTATCATCTTATTGTAGAAGCTAGCACTTTCGAAACATTATTGATGATACTTTCTAATATTGAAAGTAATCGTTGTAATTGAGAACAAAAATGTTGGCACTTAAATATTTTTCTTTTCCTTTTCTCTCTCTATTATTTGATGTATTTGAGTAAAAAGGATGAATTGATTATGTCTGATCTAAAGACTATATCTTTGTTAATGAGAAAATGTAAGGTACACTCAGGTAAGAAACAAAAAGAGAAGCTAAAAAAAAATAAATTGAACACTCATTTAAACGTGAAAATTGACACTGAATTATGGCATTTTTAATTTTTCTACAGTCTTTGAAAAAAGAACCAAAAGCTTTGAAAATCTCAATTTAGTCCCATCAATAAGATTTAATTTATTCCTTAAAAAAATAAATAATTGCAAACCGGATAGGACCAGTACCATGCATTGGCCTGACTTTGTCCAGTCCATAATGCCATGAACAGGAAGTACCATAAACATATTCGAACTGGCCAAGTTAGCATTTTTTGCATTTTGTAGGAATATAAACTAAGCATTTGGCATACTCTCAGTTAAAGTCTTTTAAAGAGAGAAAGAAAAATGATTGCATTTGGGCATTGGCCCATTAACGATAACAGCAAAAAGTAAATGGTTTGAATTATGATAGATTGTCCTAAGATAAAATGCAAAACAAAGTTATTGTTTGCCATTAATCTTTGTAAAATGTCCAAAAGCATTCAGTGATAAAGCGTTCACTTTACTGTCATCTCCTGTTCTAAATTGCTTCTAAATATCGGTTAGTTCATTCTGCTAATGTGCCTTAATTCTCTGGCAAAGCCTTTGGGCCAAGGAATGCAAACGAGAAGCAAAATTTTCTATTAAAGACCAATTTAGGGAACTGAGGAAAATTTTAAGATTCAGTTTACTGCTAAGCAATGATTACTATTGATAGCACTGATAGGATATAAGAGTCTTAAGTATATTCCTGTTGAAATAATATTACTTATTTACTTGCCACTATTAATTGTCCGAGTATTCGAATAAAAACACTTATGGCTTAAACAAATTTCCTCGTAAACCACGCAAATTTGGCTCTAAATTATTTGTCAAACATTTGCTGTTCGCAAGATGTATTGGTGACAACGGTAATGGGAGTAGGACGAAAAGCACAGGTGAGAAAAGGAGAAACCGAAGACAGGTGAGGGAAAAGAGGAAAGAGTGAATATCGAGCTTAAGGTAAATAAAAGCACAATAAAACTTTCATAAAATGATTGATGTAAGTAATAGAAATCCTTTAAAGTAAACTATTGTTCTGGCCTGAGCTATATGTGAATTCAAATAAGCCTAGCAAAAAGTGGACATTTTTCTTTGTAAAGGTCAAAATAACTCTTGAGACTCAGCAAAAATACATTTACTTTAAATTCAACTTTGTAAGCCAAGAAAGTTACCTTAAATCCAACTTTGTAAGCCAAGAAAGTTACTTTAAATCCAACTTTGTAAGCCAAGAAAGTTACTTTAAATCCAACTTTGTAAGCCAAGAAAGTTACTTTAAATCCAACTTTGTAAGCCAAGAAAGTTACTTTAAATCCAACTTTGTAAGCCAAGAAAGTTACTTTAAATCCAACTTTGTAAGCCAAGAAAGTAGTGCAACATGTCTGGTAGATTTTGCTAGAAATGATGAAAATTTCACTTTAAAAACAAATTTTGGCGGTTAGAAATTGCATAAAAGAATGTCTATTAAGTTACACTGCCAGTTTACAATTAAACAATGTTAACAAATAATATAATGGATGGAAACTTTGATATTTCGTTTATTAGCCTACGTCAATGCCGCTTGGTGCGCTTACATCAAGGATTTTCGGGTAACTTCAGGTAAAGAGTAATTGATGTGAAGTGGCCTCGAAAAAACGAAATTATTACCAATGTTAATTACTTTTTGCCCATGAACAAGTCATTATCACCTGCCTTTCCCTCCTTTTCAAGAGGCCACATCAAGTGGACACACCGCTAATAACTTTAACGACAACCACTTAATGGCCATCATTGTTTCTTTTCTTTTCGACAGCCATAAAATAGTTGGATGGAATTCTTTTCAAGTTTTCATAGACGTTTCATACTAAAATTTAAGCTTAGGTTTGCACTTTAACTTGAAAGATGTAAGAGGTCTTCACTAATCCTTGTCACCATTGCTTTCAAAATTTAAAGACATTTGAAGTACTCAAATTTATTTGCATGGAACAATTAGACTTTTAGATATCTTTGAATTCTAAAAGTCACATAATATAAATAAGCGAGTAAAGCATTTTGAGAAATATTAAAAGTAAGCGTATTGGAAGGAATGTAGAAGGCTTCCAGCAACGTATTTTAAAGTTTCAAAATTCTAAAACTGTTCAAAAAACAGAGGAAAATTATTACTGATCCATCTGATATGGACACAGACCGAATTTTGAGTGCGCTTTTTTTCATTTTTAACAATAGTAATAAATACTGAAAAAAAAGTGCTCGGATTGGAGTAAGGAAATGAATGATAATGATGAGAAGGATGGTGAATAATAAATTGTAATGATGAGTGATACTAATGGTACTAATGACCATCAGATGACCCAAATTGTCCAGCAATAGGATTAATTTCAAAAAATTAATTAGCCAGAAAATCGAACCGTTATTGCGAGATACCCTTCAAGGTAATCAGAATAGAAAACGAATAAGCAACCGCTTACCCGAGTTTCAAAACAACAATAAGGACAACAAATAGTTCAACGAACCCAAAACATTGCTAAACATTCTTCTACTAAACGATTACGGGTCATTTATTATATCTTATTTGAGTCAAAAAGACCCACCAGAGATATTTGTCAGAGAAATTCCATCATTTCATTACTTATCAAATGAGTGTTAAAATCAGATTGCATCATGCCTAGATCTATCTGATAGTAAACACTACACTGCATGTAACCTGAAACCCACATCAGCTAAGTTCTCACTGCTGCAACTTGACACTAAATTGTCGTTGGCGCAGTTTGTTATCATTATCATACACCGCTACGTAAATAACACTGAGCATATCAGTTTTATCACAGCAGCAGTAATCCACAGTAAGCGATGCTGATCAGTGATCGAGTGATAATAGCACTGATAAGAGGAATGATGTGGGCTGATCTGTCTTACTATTCCATTCTCTGCACAATCATTTCATCGATTAATGTGATCAGTTAGGGTAGCAGGATAATTCTGAAGGAATATGGTTCCGGAAATTAGAAGAGATAAATCAAAGAGAACCAATGCCACGTTTTACTGGCAAGAAGACGGTATACTGGTTTCAAACTATAGTTACTACCGAAAACTGGAAGGATGCCATGCGATGACAAGCCTGATATTGCACACGTGGTCACGTTATTCAAGTATATTCAACGTGTCATAGCTAAGTACTAATTAGCTTTAAAGTAGTATCAATTGCTTTTATTCATGCCATGGCCAAAGTTTGCACAAAATTTTAATTAAATGTTAGTCAAAAATACAGAAATTAGTTAAAACTTTAGCCATGTTTACATCTTATTACCTATCGTTCCCAAGTCAATCTTTCAACCTGATCATTCATCTCTTTCCACGTGTCTCACGTATTCTCGATTGATATTCCGGTTGGATTTTTTGGCTCAATTATCCTAGACAGTGCATGAGGAAGTTAGCAGATTATAAAATTGAAATAAAACAGATTACGAAAGGCAACGCATTACAGTAATTTGTATAATTTTCTGTTGGATTAAACAGTGATCAAAATGGAACAATGAATATAAATTTGCTAGAATGAATGCATAATTGAAGTGAATTAAATGACATTGAACTGAACTGAATTGAACTGAGAGAGGAAGGAATGCAATTACTGATAGTAGTTGGAAAGATCGAGAAGTCGAGAGGAGGGCGCAAAAGGAATAAGAAAGAGCGCAATTGAATTGAATCAGTTGTGGTCACATCATGCAACCGGTTCTCTTGAACCGATACAGAAGTGATCCTGAAATCAGACTGACCGGAGATCAGGAGAGAAAGGATTAACTAACTGATTAGATTTTCTAGAAAGGAAGAAAAGAGAGAATGAAGGACGCATGGAAGGATGAATTAAGGGATCAATCATAATCAGAGTAATTACCGTAGAGGAAAAGATTTAGCTTAAGAATTGCTTCTAGTAAGATATTTGCAGTGAATTCTTCTCTTTAAAGAATGAAACACTCAATAGAACAATACTGATAATATCTGCCTATCATTGATAACTGTTCAATATGATAAGCATTGTCTTATCATTTTATCTTTCTTACTTTAATTACTTCACTTTGTCGTTCTACTTCATCCATCAGTGAAAAAGTCTCCAAATTTTGAATTATTCTCAAACTGCACTCTTTGTTTTGGAAATTCTGAACGAAAAGTTCTGAAAATCGAAACTGATATGTCTGCTTGAATTACTAACAATTATATTTGTTATTCTTTTTTTTATCATTAATTTGAATAAATTTGATTTGAATTTTAATATTTGAAAAGAAACAAAAACTGAGAGAGTGTGTGCACGAGCTGCTTGGGATTTACGATACGATAACAACAACAGCAACATCTGTATGGCAAGTGTTTTTCGCAAATAACAGTTATTATTATTATTCAGAGGAAAAGTTCAAAGGTCAGAGCAATTCGGATCACATAATCCGTTGTGATGAAAGGGATAACATCGCCGACATTAAGTAAACGACACGAGCTATTATTGGATACTAAATTACTATTCTAACTTTAATTGATGAGAGATTGAATAATTGTTCGTGGCGATAATGTGTATAGTAGGATCGATAATTATGAGAAAATTTTGCATGAAGCATTTGAAAAAATTAATGTTATCTTTTTGGAGATTTGAATTTAAAGTAAAAACATTTTAAAATTAAAAGTAGCTTATAAATTCAAAGTAGCATTCCAGGTTACTAATCTCAACTTGCCTCTTCTGAGACGATTTAAAATTTATTTTATACTAACTTTAGGTTCTTCTGCATGGAAAATCAGGCTGAAACATAAGTTTAACTTGAAACAGTTAAATAACTGAACAGCTGCTGATTACTCATTTGATCGATTATTGATTGAATGAATGAATAAATGAATGAAGATTTTGTATATTTACAGGAAGATATGGTTTATATTTTAAGCAAGCAAATACTGCGAAATAAAATTAAATTTTAGGAAAAGGCACAGCACTTTGTCTTCTTCAACATTTACATATTCAGTGACAATTTGAAATATTTAAATTAGAGAACAGTGAATGCTTTAAGTAAAACATTCGTACCATCCGCGCAAATTTGTTTTATTTAGAAGTGCAAATTTCATCATTTGTGCAAATATAATAATAAATGAAAACGATGGACGCAAAACGTAAGAATTCGTTTCACTAAGCAAATATAAAGTTCCATTTTTTTCTTCCATTTTAATAAATTACTATTTAAACAGCTGCTTTAAAGACGGATCAGGCATGCACCTACCTCAGATAGCATGCATTCAGGCATGCAAATGCATGTTTCAATAAATTCTAGGTGATTCTTCTGCTAACAAAGTAAAGATAATGTTTACAATGTGTTCACAACGATGAAAGAAGATCAATCAGATCAATCAGATCAATCACTTACTTGCATGACCAATGGTTGCTTCGGGATAAATCATATCATTCGTCACAGCTTAGTCTGAAAGTTGAAATTTTCGTAAGATAATTTTTTAAACAGTGAAAATGTACGAGAAAAAAAAAAAGACGCGAAAAAAAACATTTATTATTCGTAATGCTAAATGAAATTACTACCGCAGAATTTTTAAGTCTAATTTTAGAGCAATTTTAAATTCTGACAAAATTTGAAAAATTAATAAATTTCCATTGACGAAATCATCAAAACTAAAAAATTAAATTAGATGCAAGGAAATAGAATGTAAAATATTTAAATGAAAATACATTTCATAAAATATGAAAATATATTGTAATTAAATGATTCACTTCGAGAGCAAAACAGAAGACAAAAATTCTGCTTTCCTTCTAAATATTAGTAAAACTGAGCAAAATTTCGAAGTGTCAAATAATTTTCAGAAATCTTCGATTACTATTTAAACATAATTTGCATAGCTGTTTAGTTAAGTCAATTTATTTTCAGCCGTAAAATTGTCTATCCTTTATTGAAGTTCGATTATAAAGTGACAAAGAAAGCATTTTATCTATTTCAGTAATCAGCTAAAGAAATGATAAGTGATAAGATCAGTGATTAATTAAGGAAACATTGATTAGCTAATAATAATAAGTAAGTTAAGCATATTATAGGAGTGAAATGGAAATCGTTGGATTGTACAGATGTCAACGAAATATATTTGCTCTCAAATGGACCGGTGGGAGAGGCAAGGCAGTAGAGAATATCCAATGAATAATTAATGGAGAAGGAGGAGTCTCAATCTAATTGTCCCGTAGATCTGTTAATTTGTTCAGTAGTGAAATTATGCTAAGAATGTCATCCATATTATGTCAAAGACTTTAGGTAATGATGGATGACAGGTGACAGGAACCCTCTCTCTCTCTCTCTCTCTCTAAATTCTGATTAATTTAATCAAAAACTAAAGCATAGGTTCAAAGTTATGAATTATTTCAGATGAATTAGAGTTACTCTTAATGAAGCTATGGTCAACTAAAAAAGCAGTCAAAAATGCCATCCAATATTTTTGTTGGAAAATTTATTTTTTTAAAAAGAAATCTAAATCACACGAATCACTGATTAATGTATATGCAAATATGATCCAAGCATATTTGAATATTGTCTGTGCTTTTGAATTAATTAGAGGATAAATCCAACCTTATTACAATTATCAGAATTTCATGATAATTATTACATTTATTACTTAATCAAATTTATGTACCGTAACCGGGAATGTGTCAGGTAGTAAGTTAGGAAGATGTAAAATATCCCGCAAACCGAAAAGTCAACTGGAAAGCATAGTCTTGACGGTTTCCGATTTTCTGAAGTCAGTACTTAGACAATTAAATGGAAGACTGACACTTGTAATTAAGCAGACACTAAAAAGTCAAAAGTAATTCGAATTTTTTATCGTCAAAGCTTAGCATAACTATGTCATCCATCACTGATAGAAAGTTTTTATAAAATTTATTTAAATTGCAATTTGTTGATTTCATTAAACGACAAATCGATGCTCACACAATTATATGGCAGTCATATGAAAAATGTCTTCCAGATTGTTTGAATTCTCAGAGTTTGAAATTACCATTTTCTAAGCATAGAAATTTACAGAGATCATCGAAATCAGTGAGAGTTATAAAAATTATAAAAAAGAGAAATATAAAATGACACTTTCAATGCACAGTTTGGCTTTTCAGTCTCGTAACACCCGGAAAACTGGAATACTACTCAGTAAATCTCGACAATATGACCAGGATTATCGGTATGATCAACTCATCAATATGATCAGCTTATCGTTATCGATCTGTGAAATCTAGACAGAGGTATGCAAGTTTCTTTCTGATGATCGAAGTAAAATGAAAGTAATTTACAAATTGGCAGAAAATCAGTCTGCTTTACATTTCTAATAAATTTAAATTTAACTGTCACCAATTCGTATCATATTGAATGCCAAGACTAATAGCTGACAATTCTATTCCATAAAAGCATCATAAAAAAGAAATTTTGGGGGAAGTAAAAGGGAAGAGATTTAATCCGGGCTTTGACACTATAATTGTGGCATAATCGTAAGGTTCCTGCTGCAGAGAACGATAACTAATTACACTGCTAACTGCTTCAATATTTAGCTTAAGTGGGGCGTAGCAAATTTAGGTGACAACCAAGTGACAACCACCTTGAACCAATATATTTAAACTTAAAGCATCGGTTAGCATAAAGTTGGCTGTTTATAGGTAATAAAATTAAAGTTTGAGCATATGACCCAATGTTACTGTCACCAAAACATTAACTGCAGTTGACATAAATATATTACATGTCAACTTGGCATCACATTACAAGAAGAAGTCTTGGCGACAATTAGCAATCCAAATGAACTTCAATTTTCCGTTTGTAAACACTGAGAATGGATTTGACAAGAAAAAATGAGTGCAAGGTGAATACCTTACCAATTTGAGAGTTACCTGACTAGCATGCAGCAAAATTGAACTAAATGCTAATAGTAGTGATCAGATAAACTGAAAAGTTTAATTTTAAACAAGCAGTAATTCAAATTTTAATTCAAGCCAAGTTCTTCTGCCAATTTGTCATCGAAGTGGTAGTAATGCTACTGTAGTTTTCAGAATTTCTTGACAATGATCAATAAAATGACAGATAGATGAGTATTACTAGAAGAGAGTTAATAAACAACTTGAGATTTAATTCTTATAGAACATCAATTACTTTAAATTGTCTATGAAAAATGATAAATCGAAGTCTCTGTCTTAGTAATGAGGCGTAGAGTAATGGGTGGTTGGTCATTGGTCATTGGTCATCGTCAAATCAAATACATGTACATCTGTAGTAGATCTGACATCATTGATATTAATTCTTAAATTTCAAAAATGAAGCATCAAGTAAGCTTCTAGTGCAAATGTTAGCAGAGGAACAATTCGTGGAATGAAAGAAGTAGAAAGTCAAAAAGTATTAAATAAATTTATTTGCTTGCTAATATGCTGAAAACGTGTCTAACTCAGCTAAATAATTTCAGAAAACGTTAGAATCCTAAAAGAGTAAATTAACGATAATTTTGGTAAAAATTTCTCATCGAAATTAAAATAGTTGATTTCATCAATGAAAAGAGACTTAGTTGAATGATATTTGAATAAATTGAAAGCAACGTTTGTCACTTTTCCAAAATTCGAAATCATAATTTGAAAAATAATTATAATTTGAACCTAAACTTTTATTAGCTTTCCGGTATTTCTTTGCTCATTTTCCAGTTTCTAAGAGAAAAAGAGTTAGAATCGATAATCTAATTGAATATTTGTTAAATGGATCAAAAAAAAATGAATTAAAAAAAAAAATTTATTGCTGCTACTGGAAAAAATGCTAACAACAGGAATTTACTATTACTTTGTATCTTTAATTAGAATGAGGAAATGATTTATAAAGAATTGTATTAAAAATTTTGACCTTATGTTGTCAGCTTCTTTCCGGAAAATTTTTCCGTAAAAAATATGGCACATTTCAAGCATTGGATTTTGCTTCTAATTTCAATCTGTTTCGTAACCTATATGTACTTCTCAAAACTGATCAATGATCTAAACTACTTGCGGAATGAAAAATTAAACAATTTGATGGATGTGTCAAATATCGAACGATCAATGGAAAACACGTGAATATTACTTGATAATGACGTACGTTGTGCTTTTTAAAGTGAAATCCGTGTTCTCACAAGAAATATTCTTTAAACATCCGAAATTTTTTTTTTAAAATGAGTAATTGGAGGAAATATGAGAAATTATATAATATATTAGCTTGTACGAAACGTTTAAAATTATAGCATGATAAGTTCCAGTTTTAAGTTTTTTTTTTTTTTTTAATATAATGAAAATTTTTATAGGAATAAAAGATAATTAATTGCTACAATTTTCTTTGTAAGCCATTAAAGAAATTACTTTTTTAGGTAGACAGAAACTAAAAAGAGGAATTATTAGCATGACTTAGACTGCTTAGATGACAACAAGCATTAAATCAAATGGCACATTTGGAAGGAATATATTGTGGAAGAGGAAGACATCATCCAAAGATCCATTAAAATATTATGATTATGTTTTTTTAAATATTATTTGATTTATAGCTTCAACAAACGCTATATCTTTCAGGCAAGCATAAAGTGAATGATTTTATAACTATTCATGTTCCATTTGCCTATTCATCCTTCACCAAATGGATTTGCATTTTCAAATGCTATCGCTTAGCATTAGATTATATTTTCATAAACAAAGTTGAAAGCATTGGGGTGATAAGAGCAGTAGCAATAAGTGATAGTAATGATAGCTACAGAAGTTTATATCATCGATTATGATTTAAATGATCATAATGATAACTTTGGAAAAGTACAATTTATAATAAATTTGTTATCAATTTATTGATGGAAAGTGATAAGGTGTTGATTTCATATCTCTATTCCACCCACAAAGTCTCTTAAATGTAAAGAATAGATAAAGAAGAGTGGTGTCAACAGGCAATTCGTTAACAACCATTCAATCATCGGTCTTATCGATATAATAAACTTAATTAGAGAGGTATATACTTTCCTCTTTTGGAATTTGACGAACGACACTAATAGAACCTCATTTTACTGATATTATAATTGCCGCATGAATAGCAAAAACGTCTATACAATGTTTAATTGGACTGACAAAATTGTGTTGGAGCAAAATTTCTTTTCAAAAAAAAAAAAAAAAAAATAGAAAAATAAAAAAATTATCGTCAATTTTAGAATTGAATCGAAAATAGGCACAGAGAATCAGATTTCGAAAAAGGAAAAAGGGAAAAACTAGTAAAAGAGTAATAATTATCTCACAACTTGGCAGCTTTCCTCATTTCATTACCTGTACTACTCATTACCCATAGGTTTATTTTAATTCGAAAGTTAATGCATACTTTTTGTTGGACAAAAATGGACTGACATGGATTTAAAAGTTAAATATTTAATAATTTAAATTGAAGATTACATGGCTCTTGAGTACGGTAGAAAAAAATGGCCATATATGATCGATTCATCAATCATCAAAGGGAAAGGTAAGCAATGCAAATGTTCTTCTGATACAAGTAGTATCGGTTGGGAGGTAAGGGGATGCCGCCGGAGGAAACAGACGCGCAGACGGACGACAACATTAACAGTTGGATAATTCTGACCTCAGTTTGTCAATTTAAGGGAATGAAGCATCAAGGATAAATGTAAAGTAAGGTATATTACCTATAACTGACCTAATAGTTTCCGGTTTCTGTTCATTAAAAGATAGTAAAGGTACTGCTGATTAATAGTTATTGGCGGTTTAAATTTGTAATGTCAACGTTATATTCAGGTACAAAAATATATATATAATTATAATATAATTCACGCAGTATTAAACTCACTTATCAATTAATTAATTAATTAATTAATTAATTGATTTTGCTAATGGATTCGTCGCACAAAAGAGAAATGAAAATTAGAAATGATGCAGCTGATCAAATAGAAAGCAATGGTTTATCGAGATCGTCAAAATTAATTTTTGCACATAAAATCTTCCACAAAATTTAGAGGACAGAATTTCATAATTATTTTAATAGCCGAATGCTTCGTTATAAAATTTTTAAACTTTAAAAATGTCCTTTGGCATTTTAATAGTCAATGTATGAAAGATATTTACTTTTATGAAATCCGTTACGCATTAATTTTTCCTGACGTCAAAGACGAAAAGTATAAGTAAAGAGACGAATAAAATTAACAAAAGCAAAATTGAAAATTGGAACTAATTTATTCAAAGGTTTTAATAGCTAAAGTTAGAGTAAATAACTTCCTCATTAGTGAAAGTTGATAAATGTGACACCGATAGATGCGTTGAGTTAATGAATAAATCCAATAGTTTGTTTGAGATGAAAGAAATGCAAGGACGAATAGCCTTAAAATCCAAACATTGAAAGTTATTCTTTAAGCTTAAAACAAAATAACTGAAATGAAAATTACTAAAATTGAAGTTACACAATGTCATCAAATGGAAATGCTTTTTGCAAATAGAATAGCAATGAGTGTTAGGTGACAAAGTTAAATGCAAATTGGCCTAATTTGGATAATCAATAAAATGAGATTGATTTCATACATTTTCATAGCTTAATATCAAATCAAATAAACTCGTCAAACGTCAATTTGTCTCTTTCCTTTATCCATCTGAGTCATTACTCTATCATTTTGTTTTCTAACTTTCTTCTCTCTTTCAGCTTCTCTTGCTTCTATCAGAATTTCAAAATATTTTAAAGTTTAAATTCGAAATATTAAATTAAAGCAAAAATAATTATATTCTTAGAGAGCTTAACCAACAGATCAATAAAACATAATATTGTAACACTTCACATTGGCACATGATTTTACGTCCCATTTTTTTTATCTAGAAATATAATTATGTTTACGAACAAATCACTTATTAAGACGTGTGCAAGGTGTGATCTTACGTAAACGTCATTCTAGGAAGTCATTTGTATTTCGTAGTAAGATTTTAGTTCGAAGTCCTAAACAATACAAATAATTGGTGACAATATAGCATACTAATTAATGATCTCTTAAGTAATCCGTGTGGAAACCTACCCAACCAATTTAAATACATTGTGAATTAGTGATTAGATCAGTAGAATTTTGAACTATTGATTAGATCGATTAATAATATTGAACTCAGATCAGAAAATAGAAAATACAGAAAGCAAATTGTGTCAGCAAAGAATGCTTTTCTGTTGGAAGCATCAAGTATTCAATATATAATGCATTGAGCATACGACATGGGATGTTAAACAAATGTTTATTAAAAATTAATTGTCTATAAAATGACGATAGTTTGGATCAGATAATAGGAAAAGCAGAAGGATTAGTCAAATATTGATTAAACATTTAAATTTAAAACTTCCATGTGGTTTCTACTATTATCCTCTGCTGAAGTGTTCACAACGTCTGAGATGACAAGTAATGATGCTGATATTACGTACTTTTAATCAAGCTTAATTATCTTGATCATGATCTAGATACTTGCTTAAGTGAATCAAGCTTAATTATCTTGATCATGATCTAGATACTTGCTTAAGTGAATCAAGCTTAATTATCTTGATCATGATCTAGATACTTGCTGAAGTGAATCAAGCTTAATTATCTTGATCATGATCTAGATACTTGCTGAAGTGAATCAAGCTTAATTATCTTGATCATGATCTAGATACTTGCTGAAGTGAATCAAGCTTAATTATCTTGATCATGATCTAGATACTTGCTGAAGTGAATCAAGCTTAATTATCTTGATCATGATCTAGATACTTGCTGAAGTGAATCAAGCTTAATTATCTTGATCATGATCTAGATACTTGCTGACTTCACTTCAATTTGTCACTGAATTCAAATTCCTTCAAGCAGACAAAAAGTGCTTGAAAAACAGTGCTATGTTCAGTGTCAACTTCTGTACGTTACTGCTACTTTAGTATAAGTTAAGCTAGCCAAGCTAGGCTTATTTTCATAAAGACATCACATGCTGTACTTGTAGCAAATCAAATTTAATAAAAAAGAGAAATGTATTGCCTTCATATGGTAATAATTTTTTCTGAGAAATCTAATTTTTGACATAACTACTTGCAGTGTACCATCCAAATGCTTTCGAAACAAAATTATTTCCAAATGTCTCCAAAATTGGGACTAACCTAAAAAGAGACAATCATTATAATAATAAAAAAGCAAAATAGATATATTCGGCGCCATTTTTTGGTACATCTTAGACTTATCTTCCAGCACTAATAAATATGAAATGTAAACTGCATTGTTTACGTTTTCTTTTTTTTCTTATAAATGATAACGAATAATAATTTTCGAATTTTGACAAATCGTTAATCAGTAAATTTCAACTATTCCTATCTCGGAATCTTATTAATAACAAAATAATTCAGCAATGAAATAGATGGCTATCTGACAGTTTTAATGAGAAAACATTTTTAATAAAATTCCTCGAAGAAATTTGTGAAATTTTTGAACGGAGCAAATGCCACGCGAAAAGACTCATTGTTTGAATTTAAAAAAAAAAATATACGATGAAGAGAAAGGAACAGAGAATGAGTGGAAGCATTTAAATCATTGAAAGATTTACCTTTAAAATTAAACAATACTTTCTCTCCGAATGAACTTAAAGGCCTATTTGCAAAGAGAATTGCTACTTTTATAATTTGCAGATGGTAAAATTATTCAACAATTGGACATTAGCGATCTCAGATAGGGCGCAAATAGGAGAAATTGGGCGCAAATGGGAGAAATTCAAATGAACTGGCATTAATAATAAGAAGTAATTATTTTTGTTCTTATCCTGTTCCATATATCATTATCAAAAACACAGCCATCATTATCACTATCATTATCATTATCATTATCACTATAATTATCGTTATCATTATCACTATCATTATCATTATCATTATCGTTATCATTATGATGATCACAGTATAACACAACGGAAATATGTAACGGAGGGAGATGGATGCACTCGCACTTGAATATTAGCTTTGGTAGTGACCTGTGCCACAGTAACGACTCATCAATAAGTTTATCATTTTGATGACCATCCTTACAGAATGACCACAGGAATGAAAGATCAGATGGATGACAGATGCAAATGGTATGACAACATTCTGCTGCATGTGAATTGGATGTTTGTTGATGGAGTAGTAATTAAAGGCAGTATAATCGGTAATGAGATTACACGCGAATTTACGTCACTCTGTAAAGGACGAGGGCGAAAAGTCGTGGACATAACGTCAAGGATGAATTTCCGACACCCACAACCACTGTTGTAAGCACTTATAAGTGAATCATTATTGGATAAACGAATAAATAATTTGAGAAAATGGCTTAATGAATCGAAGAGAAACTGATACTGCTGCCTGGTCAGTCGATCGGTCGATTGCTCGATCGGTCGATCGTCCATTTCATCTGTGCTGGTGTATGTGTATGTGTGTGTATGTGTGTATGTGTGTGTATGTGTCGTCTATGTCGTCAGCTAATAAGCTAAGTGCTTTTTGCCGTCCGTAATCGACTCAATTATACAACGATTAAATAAATGATTGTTCATTAAAAGCAGGCTGAGATCTCATTTCCTTCCACTGTCCTTTGTCCACCCATTTCATTTCATTCAAATCAAAAAACACTCTTTCACTTCTCTTCCTCTCTCTCTCCCTCTCTCTCTCTCTCTCTCTGAGACAAAACTTTTCAGATCCAACATGTTGAGAATTTCCATCAAATCCATTAATACCATTTACTTTTCATTCTAATGAATATTAATAAATGAAAATTATTATTTTCATCTCTCCTCTCTCTCTCTCCTCTCTCTCTCTCTCTCTCTCTTCATCTGTGCTTTCAATATTTCTTTTCCATGTTTGTCTATTATAACTCATTCTAATGGACTCTTTCATTGTTCAATTTTAATCAAATATTATTTCTTTACTTCCTTTACTTTATTCGACTACAATTAAGTCATCCTATAATCCTGTCACCATCCTGTCAACTCATAGTCAACACTATCTGGGGTAGGGTAGGACTGTAAAGAGTAGAGTTGAAATGAGATATTGCGATCAGACAAATGAGCCAGCTTAGATTGACTCTAAGCAATTAGAGTATGGATTGAATATACCTAAATGTTGAAGGAGTATATGTGAACTGTCGAGACTTGCATGCATTATATGTGAACTGTCGAGACTTGCATGCATCGATGGATGACTTCCTGTCGACTCTCCTTGACTTTGAAAGTAGATCACTTTCAGATCAGTTTCAACTCATCCAGGTGATTGGAGGTTAGGAGAGTGAAGGTAGGAGAGAGGAGAAGAGAGTTGGAAGGAAGGAAGGTAGTAGGTTCGATGGGAATGGCCAAGCAAAATAATGAAATGAATTCTATTCAATTTCACTTTCCTTTTCTTTTCTCATTTACCGACCAAATGAAATGAATAAAACGAAAGGAATAATTTTATTTGTTTCAGTAAACAAAAGACTGCAAATTAAAATGGAATTAAATATGATATTACTATGTGACTTGTTGTCAAGAGTTCGAGATAGAAGTGTCCACAGTGCAAAGGGTTAATGGATTTTATTATCGAAGAATGAAATTAAATAATTAAAAAATTAAAAAGAGAAGTAAGTTGTTGACTCATTGATGTGTGTACGGCACTTTCCGCTTTTTAGTTCTTTGTGAGACCTTAAATTGATTGGAAAGAAATAATGGCAATTAGTGCGGATGCATGAACGCCGTCAGGATGGATGAATGGATTATGTGATTGTGTCCCTCTGAGGATGGAAAGTGGGTAGAGAGGACAACGGAAAGCCGTAAATGGGGACAATGATTTAATATATACATGACCGCATCCCGCATGCAACCGAAAACCAAATACCGCTCAAGCAGTACCACCCTAACCGTCATCAATTTCATAAACCACTAATTAATCATTTTCAACTGCTCGATTGAGTCTATTTGCAAACATTAGACATGCATATACAATCCAAACAAAAAAAATTTCTAAATTTCTAAATTGAATTTTCCTTTTTTGTTGAATCTCTCAGTACGGTGAAGTGAAACTTAATTCTTTTTATTTTTATTATTTATATCGTATGGCAAAAAGAGGACAAGGAGATGTTTTTTAAAGCAAGCAAAGTCGATTCTCAGAAACTTTCTAAGTTTTAATTTTGATATCTGAATCTCGCATATCTCGCTATGCCGTAAGGTGATAAGTCCAGAATTGGTACTGATTATACGTAAGTCGTTATTGCTTACACGTAAATCGTTATTGCTTACACGTAAATCGTTATTGCTTACACGTAAGCTTTTAGTATTTTAATTGTGATATTCTATGGATGTCGTTTCTAGTACTCAAAAAATGCCAATGAATATTGAATTCTTTGCATAAGCATAAGCAGTGCTATGGAGTTTTTGGAGACAAATCTGCTCAAACCTTCACATCAATGAATTTCATTGTTTAATTTACATTTAAAGCACTTGTCATTGTCATCGGATAGAGCTGCTCATTTCAAGAAAATTCAAAACTACTCCTAAAAGCTGCTCCCTAAATTATTCCTCTCTCTTCTTCCTTAAAATCTGTCCTACCATTGAAAACTACAACTTGTTACTATGACATTGGCAAGGAAGAGAAACAGAATTCTCTTCTAATTCAAATTAAACTAAAAAATAAATTCTAATGGAGCGTACAGTCTTCTGATTTTCATTCGTTATCAATCACTTTTAGAAGGAAGTTGAAATGAAATAAGAGAATCGGGAATGGAAGAAACATTTATGCAAAAAATTAGAATTTGTTAATAAATAAACATTGTAGTTCAACGACAAAAATATCACGAAATAATGTTTTGTTTGATTAAAAGAGAAAATGAGAGTTTGCAATTGGAATAGTTAAGATTTGATCACTTGCTAAAAGTGATCAAATTTTTTAAGGCAGAAATTAAAATGAAAAATTAAATGAATTAAATGTTCTGGCAGATATTACTAATCAAACATATTGTCTACAATTTTGATAGTTTAAGTTTTTTTTCACAACATTAAGTAAGAATGAAAAAAAGCAGAAAGGTGAAGAAGTTTAGATAACAGATTGGTATATTCATTATTTCACTTTCAATCAAATACAAAGAGAAAAAAAAAAAACAAACGAGAATCCGGTCGAGAAAGTTAACCGGAAAAGGAGACAGATTGTGTGACATATCAAAGTGGTAATGCTAATCGTTGTTGTTAATTGCTGTTAATTGTGAACACTTGACACATGTACCTACAACACTTCCCCCTCTGCTTAATAGGAGTGATTTGTTTACAACAATTATTGTCTTTCTGCTCTGCCATATAATATCCTCGGACATTCCACTCACAAACAGAACAAAGTAGTGCCATCCCATCCCAACGTGTTTTTTCATTTTCCATTATAACTGATTACAAGGGAAAGTGTTATTTGCACTGTAAGGTATGGATGGATGCATGCTTGCACTGCTTGCATGCATGCATGCACTTGCATATTGCAAGCAACTAGTACGGAGAAAGTGACAAAGGTCATTTATTCCAAGCATTCTGTACTTCGTTCCACTTTAATGACAAGTAAGTGTAGCTATTTCCCATTTAAACTAAAAGGAAATTTGCTTATGTGTCATATTATTATGCATCAAAATATGGAAAAGCTAATAAGTATAGTTTACAGAGTGTACTCTCGAGGACAACAAGGGTAGTCTCGAGGACAAGAAAGGTACTAGTAGGTCTGTGCAGTAGAATGACTTTAAGTAAAGGATGCAAGTGCAGTTTAATAGTACGATGAAGAGACGTCGTTAAGGAAAACTCGGGATGATCAGGCGGAATAAACTTGATCACTGCAAGATTATAATCATTTAACATTAACTGAAACTCTACTAATAATTTCATGGTATCAAATTACTCACCAACTGCTATCCGACATGTAAAGTTGCAGCTGCAACAGCAAGAACAACATTTTATTGTGCAGCCTGCCTCCCTGAACCTCATCATTTCATCGTTGTCATTATTCTCCCTCCCTCCCTCCCTCTCTCTCTCCCTCTTCTTTACAGTATACACCTTGCAGATGTCAACAATTAATACGTTGTAGTTAATGATTAGAAGTGAAAGGTGCGTACCTTAATAGTGACATGTTGTCAAATTAAGGCTTTCTCGAAAGGCCTTTCCTTTTGATCGGTAACGGACAGATGGCTAATGTCAAGAAAACGAGACAAACTGATATAAAATCTGCCGGAATAATGAGAAACGGTTGTTTCATTCAATTAAATACCATCGCAAATAATCACAAAAATGAAAATTTAGTTAAAAATTTTAAAAAGCACAAATAATTATTACTCAAATAGGTAAAAGCTTTCAGCGTTTAGAAACAGAATTGTTTCAGACAAAATAGAAGCTAAGAAGTAGCTCCAACCAGCTATCCGATGCTTTGTCATATCTACAATGACCAGATGACATTTGGTAGATGCAGAAGGTATGCTTAGAATAAATCAATAAGTAGGATCAAAGTTAGCACCGATCAGTAAGAAATGATTGGGATGGGAAAAGTTGAGCAGAATGGAAATTAAGTGAGTCTACAGATCAAGTTGAATCTTCCGAAATTATCAGTCAATCATATTGGAATATCAAATTATCACTTTCACTTCTATATGACTTCAACGACAGTCAGAGATAACGCATGCACATGGTGCAGTCGATTTGACAAACATCTGTTGCCTATTGCTGACAGCTCCGAAAGATTTTGTGGCCTTGTGATCAAAATTTGATGAACAAATGGCTTTTGATTTGATTTAATATTATGTCAGAATGAGAATAGTCATCCTCTATTGAGTTCATTAATTTTTAATTTGTGCTTTAAGAATCTATTGACTTGACTAATATTTAAAATTCAATTTGTAATTAGTATCAATCGCAAAATAAGAGTTAAAAATGAACGAACAACAAACTTCTTTCAATTTTAAGTCTGTTAAGCAAGTTATTGGAGACAAAATTTCAAAAGTAGTACTCGATTCAAATCACTTATAATTTTAAGCCTAAGATAGCAGCTGGTCTATATTTTAATTTTAATTCGAATTCAATTTTGAAAAAATTAGCTCAATCAAAATTGAGCAAAAAGTGATACTACTGATAATTCTTTTGTTGGATTAATACTTATTACATTCAATAAAGTCTGCAAATTCCCGACCTGAGTCTTATTCCGCCTGGATGAAGCATTGCTATTGATAATAATTGATGTGGCGGAGAGAACTGAAAGAGTAGATGGAGTGGTTCATTAGCTAATTAATTGTATCA